GAGCATGGGGTTGGTGGAGTCCTTTCTACCAAGGTGAAAGCCCATGATCCCTGCAAGATATGCATTTACATAAGAGGGAAGCTGAGAAAACTTTGCTGTCTCTCTCTTGCCCCCAGCTGTGCCCCATTCCTGACCAGTATTTCTTAAGAAGAGAGTCTCTTGCAAAATCACTTGGCAGTTCCAGCTCAGTATTCCACAGATGCAGCTTTTTCTCCTGAGATGAGAGCTGTGTAATTTGGCACATGTGTGACCCTTGACTAGGCAACATCCTCCCCTGCCTGGGAGAGGCCTGCTTGGGGTCAGCCTCTAATCCACTGTCTGCAGAAGCTTTTCATCCGCCATAAATGAATAGGTCCGAGGAGACCGAAGAGACTAACGGAAAGAACCCTGCAGTAATAGAACCAAACACTCATTTGTCATGTTGGAGCAGAGCGGTGTGACAGGCTGCTGCTGCTAACACTAATCCCCCCGTGTATTACAGTCATGCACCGCGGCACAGATAAGAAAGTTGAGCTCCGACGAAGAGGATGCGAACCTCCCCCTTGTCACTGCAGAGTCTGATGGGCAAAAGCAAAACATATTTGTTAACAACGATGATTTTTTTTTTAACTGCACGAGTCAACAGTTTTGAACAACGTCAAATGCTGCCAAGTTCTAACAGCCGGGGCATTGCAGAAGTCGGTGCAGAGGAAGCACCTTACTGGCCGAAGTTTATCAAAAGTACATTCCAGTGTCAGAGCACCGCCAAAAAAAGCACTCCGGGGAAGCCAGTTATAAGTGTGTTGAACTGCTGCACAGGAAGGGAGATGATGGAGTGAAAATCTTTTCTAAATAAACACTTGTTAAAAGTGCCTTTCCTGTAATTGAACACAGCCAGACTATATATTAAAAGAAGGAAAGAGTGGAATTATGGGTAAATGAGAACAATCTTTGCTGACATAGGTTAGTAGAATTATTCATTTCCTTATTTACGACGGAGGGTAGGGAGGCTGGTCTAGTGGACAGGAACTCAAGAGATCTGGGTTCATCCCCACTTGGACACAGCTCTCCAGTGTGACTTCCTTGGACAAGGAACTTTTATCTGCTTTGGGCTTCTATTCCCCATCTCTGAATTAAGGCTGACACTTTAACTCATAAGGCCGTTGTGTAGATAAAATCCATTAATAATCATGAGGCATTCAAGTACCACAATAGGCACTCAAGGTAGGGGGATGCTTAGCATGGAAGGCTGGGTTCCATTTCCAAGGCTCAGCACTTGCTTCTGCATGTTCATTTATGCATTGGCACGCCCACCTGTTTATTTGAACGACTCCAGTAAGGATTAATGGCTGTTTAATGAGGTGTATGGCAGTCCTTGCAGATGCATGCTTGTGAGGGAGGAAATCATATTTGTAATTTGTGCAAACACAGGGCCCTTCGCAAAACCCTCTTTTTGTAGAGGAGCTTAAGGCTGACCAAAGTGTGCTAAAGGGTGCAGGCAGGTAGAATTGTGTAAGTAGCTGACTTAAGCGATACACATGAAGAGCTTGGAAACCCAGGCTCTGGGGCTGCCAAGTACTCAAGCAATATTGTCAGGCATGTGAGTGAATGGGAATTCAGTAAGAGGGACTGAAGCACACTTCTCCAAAAGTGCATTTTTTGACCCACATTAAGTTATAGATAAAACATGTTGGATAAGGTCCCAGAAGTTTATAAACTAAGAAAGAAGTCTGAAAATAGCTTTGTTGACTTTTTTGTCACAGAATAAGGGAAAAATAGGGCTGGAAGGGGCCCTGGGAGGTCATCTAGTCCAGTTGTTCTTCTTCCCTACCCCAGTTCAAGGTGGGCCCATCCCTATATAAACCACTTGGAAACTTCTAATGAAGGAGATTCCACAACTTCTTCTTTCCTTTCTCTTTTTATACTTTTTCCCACTGGCCAGATTAACTGCTACTATTCTTTCAGTCAAGTCAAGTCAGTCCCAAGGCTGCAGCAACCGTTGGGGCACCTTAGATGCTGTAACAACCCACCTCCACTTCAGTGAGGTTAGTTGAGTTACTTTGCAACATTGGAAATTGTTTGGGCAGAGTGACCTGGTGGGTGCCCATCTCCTCCTGGTATAGATGGCCGTTGGCTTGCAAGGAAGCTCATCCACGCTTTGACAAGTCTTGTTTTTAGTCCAGCTGGGTGCCCACATGCCCTCCTTACCCAGGCTAGCCCAGGTGGGGGTGCTGGTTTAGTCGCCAACAGCCCAACCATGGTTTACTAGTTTACGTGGTACCAGATGGCAGACCAGGAGAGGCCTGGCCTGACAAGGACTATTTTTTCATTCGTTAAAAATTATCTCCCCCCCACAATCCTCCACCCTTTTTTTTTTAATTCGGTTTGAGCTCCTGTTAACTCTTACAAGCCAGATTCTGATACCCTTTCCACCCTACCTGTGGCTCTTTCCATTAGCGTGGCTTTTGGCAGCATTACACCTGCTGCTGTGGCTTCCCACCCACTGCCCCCACCAGGTCTGCGGTGGTGATTTTTCCATCTCTCCTCTCTCTTGGATTTGTTTGTCTCTCCTCTGTCCCTCAGCATACATCCTCAGAGTTGTGTGTGTCCTGTTTCTCAGCCCTGCCACTTCTCACCATTTCAGCATGAGTCACGCAGTTGTAAGTGTTTTTTTGGAAAGCTGCTAGTAGCTGTAGTGACTGTGTTGGCCATTGATAGTTTGCAGGGGAACTCCAAAGGGAACAAAGTACTTTGACTTGATGGCGTCTACAGCTTGACTTACTGAAGTAAATTTTGGGTCTCTGCTGCGGTAAGAGGCAGAGCCATATGCAATGTTGTGTTCCCATATTCACAGGAAGAGGCCCAGTATTTCAGGCTTCAAGTTGGGTCGATCAAGGCTTAGGTCTCTGCTCTCCTGCAAACTCCCTACGTGGCCCTGGTCAAGTCAGTCTGCTGCTCTGGTCCCCACCCAGGGGAAGAAAGGAAAAATACATTAAGAGTTTGTAAGGCACCTAGTTATTGTGGTGATGGGGCCATATAACTACCTTACAAAGATGCAGTGATTGCAAGGAGAGTTTTGATACAAACTAGAAGTTGAGATACACCACTGATCTCTGAACCTTTTTTCTGTGCTTAGTTTGGGTGGGATTCCTTATCTTTCGTATGCTACTCACTTCACTTTCACCTCTGCAGGACCCAGGCCTAATCAGCAGCACTTACGAAGAGGGAATGTGAAACATTAGTCAAGGGAGGCTGGGTGGAGGTTGCTGGTCAGATTGCTGTAACCTCACATCCCTGAGCAGCTAGCAAAAGGGTGGGTGGAAAGATTAATATTTCCCACTTGTGATGGCTGGACTGTTCACAGGGAGATTAGACACAACAGCTTTTGGATTATTCGTTTAATTGTACTCGTTTTATTTCCCACCCATTCATCTTTTTGGCTCCTCCTGTTTATCTTTCCAGCCTTCATTTCCTCATATTGATATGACCGTGGAGTACAGATTTCTTGGGGAGAAAGTGCTGACTTTTTAGGCACAGTAGATAGTATCTGGACTATAAAGGAAAAAATCTGACTGAACAAAAGGGGTGGTTGGGAAGAGTCAGTTAGGATAGACATGAGTGACAAATTTCTTTTCACATTTGGTAGAGACACTGGAACCAAGCAAATTAATCTGTGCGTCTGCCTTACTGCAAACAAATAAATAAAACCTGGAGGATTTTTCCCATCTGTCTGTATATATTGTCATTATCACTATTATTTTCAATCTTGTAAAAGAAGGACAGGGAAAATATTAGCTGCATTACAGCTTTTTACTATTTCCCCCAAAAATCTTACATAAGAAAACAAACAAACCATTCCAAAACAAAAAAATCTTGCTCTGATGTTATTATTTATTATTCATTTATCTGTCTGATTTTTGCCCTGTTGGATAATAAATGTATGCAACAGCTCAGTACAACGAACAGATGCCAATGCATAAAACAGGATATCCAATGTTGTTGATCAAAGCGACCAGCTGTCAGTGACTAATGCAAAGACCATAGAATTGGCTGCACTCAGTCTCCTTGTTCAGTGGGAAAAGAAACTGGATCAGTGTGTATGGATCCACAAACAACTTGCCATAGGGTGAAACAGGATGTTAGCTACTCTGTGATAACTGCTGTGGGTGCACAGTCTTCAGTCTTGATAAATGTGTGGCAGCTTACCATGCTTTGAACTCTTACCGCAGAGTAAGAGAGTTCACGCAGGCAGCTTCAGTGCACTAGCTGACATGCTACAGGCATACCCCTTCATATATCTTCTGCAGATGTATTCATGTGCCTACATGCTGGGACTTTGCATCAGGTCTCTTTTCCTTAATTGTAATAATGTAGCTAGGATTTTGTGCATTTTAGTCGGGGCCTTCTAGAAGTACACCTTATCACACTAACAATCTTTTATAGGTAAAATTAGCTTCTATTGTTTTAGGCTGTCAACTCAAATTCAGAGATAGTGTTTAAAGGTTTTCAAGCTTTTTTTTTATTATTATTTGTGGACCCCTTTGGAAATTTCAAATGGAGGTGGGGACTCCATAATCGGCTTTTATGGACCTGTTAGACAGTCTGCAGACCGCTGAGGGTTCATGGACCACAGGTTGAAAACCACGGCTCTAAGACAAGGGGTAAAGTGGGGTGCTGGGTTTTGCTAACAGTAGGTCCGGTCCTGAGTCTTTACTCTGGACTTCATCTGATTGATTTCCTGGGGAGGATTGCCTGAGAAACAGGAAAGTCTCTCCATGGATGTACTCTGTGAAGAATGTGGACTTCAGCAGCTGTTCAGTGTATTGGGGGATCCATTGTATTATTTCTAAAGAGCTCCAAGAGTCTGATCTCGCACCCACTGAAGTCAGTAAGAGGTTTGTTACTGATATTAATATGTGCAGAATCAGACTCCCAATGCACTTCCAGTATGCTTGTAATTTTGTTCTAAATATCTAGAATGCTAGTAATTCATTTATTTTGATTCCCTTATGTGTCCTCAGAAACCTTGATGGATACCCGGACGGCTACAGCTGAGCTAGGCTGGACTGCGAATCCTTCTTCAGGGGTAAGTGGATGTCACAACATTGTTGTCTTTTTTTTTTTGCACATTTATCACATGTTGCAGGTTTTATGCTCATTTTCCTGAAATGCAGATATGACTCTCAAGCCTTTTTATTTCTTGGCAAGAGCTGTCTTTGGCCCACAGCAAAAATACTCGTGGAACTGCGTCAGCAAAAAGGGATTTCTCCATCTTTACACAAAACTAGGGAAAATCCCCAAATTATGCATATTTTGTTTTGAATGTAAAAGAAATTGCATTGCCTTGTCCAAGCATCTGATAACCTGTGAATCCTAAGGTGAATTCCCCCAGTTATTCACCTCAGTGTGATATGGCCAGGATTACCCTGATGGCCCCTGATACCATTTTCGGGGAATGACTCCCTGATGGAAAGTTGCTGCATCTGCTGTGCCTCTCCTGCTGTAAACCCACTACAGATTCTTTGCCATCTTGCACACGCACACAGTGGGAGCAGGTAGGACATTCCTGGCATGTTTTCAGTCAGCTGCAAAGCAGTGATCTTCACCCACTTCTGAGAATTGGCTCTGTGGAACATGCTTTTGCTCTGCACGGCTGTTTTGCCTACTCACTCTCAGATGGCACCAGCCCCCACTGGTCCCACATTCTGATGACACACAGCATGTGGCCAGGAAGAGGTTATCTTTCAAGAAACAGCCGCACAGTGGAAGAGGATTTGATTTTATTTGTATGTATGTATTTATTATTTTTCTGTAGAACCTAATGCTGACAGTTGTGGCATTGCAATGCACTTGGCAAAGCAGTGAGTCAGGTTCTGCTGGTGCACTAACTATGTGGGAACCACACAGCAGTGAGCGTGTGGCTCACGTATAGTTTATGAACATCAGAATCTGTTTTATTGTGGGAGGGAAGGTTGACTCATAAACTGGGAAAAATGCAGGACGGGGGCTGGAGAAATGGGGAGAAGATGAGAAAAAAATTCATTGTGGGGGATGAGGGGGTAGAGAGGGAACATGGAGTACATGAGGACAGTGGGCTGGAAATTGTGCCCCTGTAGCCTCCTACCCTTTGGCAGGAGCCAAGAAGATGGAGCGAGATTCCCAGCAAGAAAGCGAAACAGAAGGCTGCTGTAGATAAAAGAAACTGGCAGCACTGGGTCAAAAACCAAAGCACAATGGCTCCAGAAATCCTCAACTCTCATCATCTGCAGAGGAAGGAGATTTCTCAAGAGAAGAAGTAAAAAAGGAGCATCTACACGTGGCTGCCTGATGGTTCAAAATAGAAAAAAAGTCCCATAGTTTCTTCTTCTAGTTCCTGGGCGGTGTTGTGAGATGCTTCAGATTTGAGGGACACAAGGTCTTCTAAGACTTGGGCCTTGGTAGCAAAGAGAAAAAGCTTTATATGAGAGGTTGCCTTCTCTCTTTATCTTTGCCTTCCAACAGAAATGATCTCAAATCTGAGTCTACATATCCAGCAAAACCTAGGAGGTCTATAATAGCTATAAAAACAAAGCAGTCTTCGCAGTGATATTGAGGATAGAAGCTGCTATGGTTTCTTTTCTGTAGCAGATTGCACAGAAGATGATTTCTTCCTGGAAAAAAAACATTACAGACAAGTTTGTTGATGCAGACCAAAGAAAAATCTATGAAGCCTCCAATGCTTCTGTTGCTGATATGAAAGCGTCACTGTGGTATTGGCTCATCATTGTTTCTGGCAATTGGGTATTAGAGGCTCTGACGTTATTTCAAGCTGTAGATTTTCAGCATCTTTGGCCCAAAGAGTGGTTCAGAGTGGGGGCACCCAAATGTTGACTAGCATGCTGTACCTTTTGATGTTACAAAAAAAAGATACAATACAGATTTCTCTTATTTTCTACAAAAAAGTATTGTTACCAGACTTCATTCTTATGAGAGAAAACATATTTCACCCTTTGCTCCATCCTTCTTCAGTGGTTACTTGTGGGTCATGTATAATTTAGCCCCTAGTCTGGATCTGTCTGAGCCTGTGGGATCTTTCAGCTGCCTGAATGTCTAACAGGGGTGTAGGTTGTAGCCATGTTGGTCTAAGGACATCAGCAGACAAGGATCTTTGGGTGAATCTAGTATCTTTTATTAGACCAACTTAAATAGATTCTTTTACTGTGAGATCAGGTTGACGGTAGCCGTGAACATCTGCTTTTGAATCGTATCATACCTGAGATTATGGTGCAGTGGAGTTCTTCCTGAACAGTTTCTTACAAAGATGCCCACGTGAAGAAGATTCAGTCTGTGATGAGACTTGCTGTTTGTCTTTCGGTTTTGATACCCAAAGCCATATTCCTTTCTCATGGACCTAATCTTGAAGAAAGGTCTCTGTCTGGTGGGCCTCGTCATCTTTGAGAAGGAAAGACATTCCACATATAGATAAGTCCCTGAACTCACTTTCTCCTTTCCTCTTTCCAGGTAAACCATTCAGTGGAGTCCCTGTTCTCCATCCTCAATTTCTCTCTCTCTCTCTCTCTCTCTCTCTCTCTCTCTCTCTCTCTCTCTCTCTCTCTCTCTCTCTCTCTCTCCCACTCTCTACCAAAAGGCTTGTAATTAGGAAACATTAGCAGGCACAAAACAGCTTTCATACCTGGAACATCATCCATAATTGCACTCAGCAGTGCTCTTCCCTGGCTATTAATGTCACTTTTATGAAGTAATGAGGAACAAAACACCCCGAGGCACTTAAAACATCTTTTTTATACAATACGAGTCTTTGAGGAATGGAAGCATAAAATAACCTGACTCACATTCCCCTGACAGAGAAAGTGATAGACAAAGACAGGGACAGACAGGGGAAAAAGATCCATTAGAAAGGCGGGCATGAGCTTAATAGATGGGCAGAACAGATTGTTAGATAGAGGGTAAGGTAGAGAGAGATGCTACAGAAGAGGTGATACTCGGGTGGGCCAGGGAATGGCTTGAGAGATGGATGGCTCCATTAGAACAATGAACATATAAGGACAGATAGATGCTGTAGTGAAAAATCTAATATCTTTTACTGAGTTATGTTGCATCTTGGTAGAGGTTTTCTTCACTGTGAACCTTTTCTGTGTTGCACTCTAGTGTGGGGTGCTTGCAGCACTAAGCGGATGCTGCAGTCACATCTTGGTATTGTTCCAGTTTCTTGAGGTTTCCTCATCTCCACAGTAGTCCTCACTAGCTTTTCAAAACCTGTTTATCTGTGACCTTAGAGCCCAATTCTTATTTGGCCGTCCCTGGGGTCAGAGTTAATTTTTTCGCTGAGGGCATTCCCAGGTGGAATCCAGAAGCCTCCTCATTTTGGCCAGACTTTCAGAAGTGCTCAACCATATATCACTCTACAAGAACACTAAAACCTTTTGGACAGAGGTTTTTGACAAGATCCCCACCGAGCACCAAAATAACCCAAAAGCTCTGCATATTTGGTGCATGCTGGCTGGTGGACTCTTGAAAATCTGGGCTGAACTAGCAGCTGAGCTCTTGTCCCAGATGGGCTGTATTTGCAGATTACAAACATGGCAAGAGGAATCACAAAATAAAAGCTGGTGGCAAATACACACACCCAGCTGTGAAAGCTCCCATGAGATGGGCATAAAGCTTGAAGCATAAAGAAATGTTATTTAGTACAACATGGCAAACAAAGGCATCTCTCCCAGCCTAGAGGCAGCCTGTTCCATAGGAAGAGTTTCACAAGGTGTCACGGATCATAAAGCTGTGAGAGGCTTCTAAGATTAACCTGTTTGGCTTCCAACTAATTGAGATCAAAGAACCTTACCCAGTCACACCACCTAGAAGCCCAAAAGTTTTGTTAGAGCAGTAGTATATCTTTTAGAAGGATGCCAAGTCATGACGTAAAAACTGATATATGGTGGTGGATCTATTACCTTCCTAGAGTAGTTGTTTTGGTGGCTAATTACCTTCACTGTTTTAAAAAAAAAAAAAAAAAAAAAGATGGCCTTGTATCTAGTTGGAATTTGTACAGTTTCAGCATCAACCGTAGATCTTGTATTTTTTTAAATTAACAAGCTGTATCTACTAACAGAAATCGCCTCCCAGTGTGTGTACTTGTAGACTGCCATCAAGTTACTACTTAACCTTTTCTTCAGTGAACTAAAAAAGAGTCAGCGTCTTTATTCTCTCACTTTGAGTTAATTTTTCCAGACCTTTCATGGTTTCTCTAGCGCCTCTTTGAAGCCTTTTTTAATTTTATAACCTCTTTTTCAATGTGTTGACCCCAAGACTAGATACAATCTTCAAGTAGTAGCTCACTACTGTCATATACAGAGGTAATATTTATACATGGATATAACTGGGTGGTTTGTCCCCTTAAGAGGAGAGCAGCCAGCCGTGTTGAGTAACTTCAGTTGTGGAGGAGCTGCTGCTAAGGGAGTGACCCCCTGGAAACTTAAAAACCCAGCGAGGAAGGCAGAAAGAGGACTCGTAGGGAACAATTTGGAGAGAAGGAGCCAGCTGGGAATAGAACAGCTTTCTACAACAAGGGGCCAGAGCCAAGGGATTCATTTTTTGAGTGCCCACAGCAGGGCGTTAAGGTTTTTTTGTTTTTTTGTTTTTTATTATTTGCCTATTTATTTGCAATGTAAAGACTCTGTTTGAGTGGGGAGGAGTGGTTTAGTTGCTCCTTCAGGAGTAAACCCACCTGCCAAAGCCAGCACACTAAGCAAGCGTCTTACAAGGGACTGTAGTGGTAAAATGGCAAAACCAGTTTCAATGTAGATTACACTAAGCAGGGTCTCTTCCTGCTCCCAAACATACTTAACCAGTTAAATAATATTCTTTTTAAGTACCCACCTAATGACAGCATGATCCTAATCTTTTGTTCAACAGCTCTTAATATACATGCCTGTGGCAGGTTCGTGTAATTTCCTGGTCAGGGCAGTCCCGATTCCTACAGAACAATAGTAACACGTATTCACATAAGAGGTGTCCAGGATATTCTGTAAGCTCTGTTGACTTATAACATCATAACTCATGCAAATAACTTCAGCTCTTTCTTACAGCCTG